AGCATGGGAGTAGTTTGGTGGGGCAAGGAAGCATTGTCCCCCGCAAACAGAAGTGAGGCACGAGGGGTGCATGTGGGGCATGTGACTGCCCTTCCTCACCCCCCAATTTCCGTGAGTGCTAAGCTGCTTTGCTCGCCCCGCTGGGGGCTCTGCCCTTCCGCACTGCAACTCCTGTCGGGATGTTTCTGGCTCGCTTGGCCCCTCTCCCCAACAGCCAGGGCCGGGTGGGGAGCAGAGAGGGCAGGACAGAGCTGCTTCTCCTGCAGAGGGTGGCCACTCTGGGTCACTGCCTCTGTAGCTGGACACCGCCTCCCGCCAGGTCCTAGTACCCATTGTCTTTGCCTTCTACGGGCATCCTTCATGGCCACTATCCTGTTTTCTGTACAATGGTGAGTGCCTGTGGGGGGGGGAGGGAGAAGACAGGGCAAGGGAAGCAGGGGGAAGGGGGTTGGGTGGAGGAAGAGGCAGGTGGGGACGGGAGATGGGATAGGGATGGGGAAGAGAAGGGGATGGGGCGGGGGGAGGTGGATAGGGCAGGGACAGTGAGGAGAAGAAAGGAAGTGGCGTGGGAAGAGGAAGGGGGTGGGGGGAGAGCAGGAGCCCGGCATGCAGTCTCCTCTTGGCAGCAGCAGCAGCTCTGGCAGGAAAATGGCCACAGCAGCGCCTGAAGGCACCAGTAAGGCAGCACCACTGCAACAGCCGGTGCCGGAGTAGCCGCAACTCCCGCACTCAGGTTGCCACAGTGGACAGCAGCAGTTTGGGCTCTCCCATTAAGCTGTCCCATGCCCTCCCCCAGCACTGGCAGCGCAGGTACCATCCCAGGCAGAGGAAGAGAACCAGTGAGCAAGGGGAACTGGCTTCAGCGAGCGTGCACGCTGCCCGCTCCCTGAAATATAGCAGTCAAACTATGTCTATGGTAGAAAGGCACTTTATACCAGCACAGTTATTTTCCACACAGGAATAGGGAATAACTATACTGGTATAACTGCATCCACTCTAGGGCTTGTTCCAGTGTGCCTACATGATTTTTTTAAATCATACCCCTATCCAACAGTTATACCAGTATAACTTTCAGGTGTACACCAGATTTTACTGAGTGAGTTGTAATCCAACAAGTGCAAACTTTAAAAGTGCAAAGTGGATAGAGCACTGGTAATCTTACATTATTTAATACTTTATTTACCAAAAGTCACATGCGCCTCATTCCACTTTATAGACAATATTTACACAATCTATTCAGGTAAAATGGACATGGGTCATTTAGACTGCTAGCTTCCTTTGAAAACATTATCTGTATAGTGATACCTAGAGCTCTATCCTGAGGTATTGCAGTTAACTGAGAACTCAGTATGCAAAATCAGTTTAAATTATACCTGTCTAAGGTGAACTTTATCAGAAACAGTGATGCCTAGTCACTCCGTTTATTTGATCATTCTGCAGTTCCTTACTCTCCTCCATAGATTTTACTAATTAGATAATTGTGTGTTGCTGACAAATCTTGCCACTTAACTTTATTTTATACATGTAGAAGATGGTGAATAGGTAACACACTGTACATATTAGTAACAATCTTAGGAACACCTCACTTTTAACTGCTCTGCATTGAAGAGAGTGGTTCCTTTATTTTTATTTTCTTAGATGTTTTAAATCTATGATAGGATTCTATCCCTGAACATGTAATTACTATATTTCCACAATAGCTTCTTGAAGAACTTTTTTTTGGGTAAAGTGTAAATTACATTCACTGGCAGATTGGAACACTAGAAATGTTCAACCAACCATGCAATCAGATTGATATATTGTAACACACAGCACCAGATTCAATAAAAAACACTGCTTGATTTTGATATTTTTAAAGCTAGATGACATGGAAAATAGTTATTTTACTGAATCTGGCCCTCAGTGCTTCATAATTTTTTATGTCAAGATTTTCCCCCGAATACTAAAAACTAACAGTTCTGCCACTGAAACAAAGAGCAGATTACTAGACTTGGGACACTTAAAGGTGAGGTTAATGTTATACACAATGGCTATTCTTTCTTTTCTTTACTGACTTTAAACACCACCGCCACCCATTTATATGAATGACTTATTCTGACTTTAAAAGGATATAGCCAGAGCCTCAGGAATTTCACAGTTCTGTGGCAAGAGGTGGCATTTCTGCCCTTTCCCTTTGCTGTGGAATATAAGATTTTTTTGTTTCTAGATAACTAGAAACATGAATGGAGTCAGTGAAAACTGATCCATTGCTGTTTTTCTGAGTCTGCATACAGTATAAACAGTAGCTATGAGAGGTTTGAACTGCCCCATTCATTTCAATTAGTTTTTTTTAAAAACTCTGAAACCAAACAGCTACTATTTAGTTAGCAGCTATTTCAGTGTTCAGCATTTTAGCAAAGACATCCAGTTAACAGGTTTCTCCCACAATTCCAGTCTCCCAACCTAGGCCACTGAACAAATTATAGTGACACAACTATGGTGCTGAGCTATACTTGCATAATCCTGCAGTAGCGTAGATTCAGTTTACAGCACTGGAAGGGGTTTTTCCAACGCTGCAGAGCTCCACCTCCCCAACTGACTGAAGCATTTTTCCGTCCATCTAGTGGAGTCTACACCCGGAGTTGGGTCAGTATAGCTATCTCAGCCAGGGGTGTGCATTCTTTACACTCCTACGTAATGTAGTTATGTTGACCTAAATTTTAAATGTAGACCAGGCCTTAGACTTGCAAGAAACGGGGGTCAATGATCACATCAGATACCAGTCTGCTAGCATGAAATGTTCATCTAGAAAATTAGACAATGCAGGGGGCCTGGTCCAATGAAGAAAGAACTCTACTGGAATTGTAAACTGTCAGGTTTAAAATATTCCATCAGAAAATGTTCATCCAGCTCTACTAATCAATACTCTGAACAGAAGGCTCTTCATTTGATTGTTAGTGTATCATGGGATTCCATGACTGCTGCAATTAAAAAAAAAAAAATCATAGCTTCACAATTGTCCTCTGCATTTCTCCTTCCTTCCTATTTCTAGCCCCTTATGGTTGAAGATAGTATTCCAATATTAACTAAGGGTTGGTCTACACTAGAAAATTAGGTTGGTATAACTACATTGCTCAGGAGTGTGAAAAATCTACACCCTTGGGTGGCATAGCTAAGCCGACCTAAGTCCCCATGTAGACTTGTTTCCATTAAAAAAGTAAATGCTCTTGTTTACACATCTGAAGTGACTATACTCCTTTCTTTTTGCCCAGATCCTACGCACCAGAAATAAAATAGAGCACAATTTAGCTTTGAGGAGAATAGCTTTTTTTTTTTTAACATTTTTCTTTCTTTCAATGTCATTCCTAGTGTATTGGTGTTAAAATACAAAAATCCTCACTGCCAAAATAAGTTAACCTGGTGCAAAGCATTAAAGCCATCCTCACTGGAGAGATGATTTACTGTTACCAGTGAAGCCTAAAAAGCAACAGAGAAACTCCTCCCTAAAGCACATCCAAGTTCATTCTATCCATTTTATTGCAGCTTCTTTGGCAGCAAGAGGATCAGCGTGCAGACATCTGCAGAACAACCAGCTGGTCTTTGAGCTAAACATTCCCAAACCATAGAATCATAGGACTGGAAGGGATCTTGAGAGGTCATCTAGTCCAGTCCCCTGCACTCAGGGCATGACTAAGTATTATAACAAACTATGTTCTAATCCTTTGCAGATGAATCCTTCAGAAAAAACAGGTGTTCCACATGGGGCTCCTTCAATAAGAAACAGGTTTGGGTGATATCCATTCACATTTTACTCATTATTTCCTCTCCTTATCCTCCCTTTCCCTTCCTTTACTCCTCAATTCTCCTCAACAGTATAGAACGGGAGTGTTGATGAAGTGAAACAGTCAAACCTTTCTTACCTGAGATATTTTTTTTTATGACTTACCACCACTACCAAACGAAACCATGCTCAGTATCTGAAGAGCTATGTAGTTCTACAAAGATGCAGTTATTTTTTTTTTCTGTGATGACTCAAAGTTGCTTGCCTTAACAGTTTGTATGTTATACAAAGGGTAAAAAAGTGTACAGTTCCTGAATTGATGTGTTTTATCTACGTAAGTTTGGAAAGAAGTTTCTGTCAGGAAGCAGAATGTGATGACTTACAGTTCTATGTTCACATCAAAGTGCTTGAACTGCCCCTTGTCTCAGTATGGATGGACACAACCTATTAGGGAAGACTGGTGGAAATATCCATCTTAAAAAGGAAATTCGCAAAAAAACTCTTCCAGTCTTTCTCACTAACACAACCTTTTATGTGAATAGCAAGCAATAAATTATTATTTACCATTAATGACCAGAGTCCTCGATCAGAACCAGGGCCCTGTTTGGCTAGGCAATAGGAACTGACCAAAACTCACTCCAGAGATTAGTTTAATGAACATGGAAAACATGGAATTTTGATTATGTACATAAATTGTTTTTAAAATGAAAAATTCTTCTTTTCCAAATAATGTGTGCACATGTAAAGGATCTATTGATAATTGGTGAAATGTTTAGAAGAGTATTTTAAATTAGTTGACTAGCTTAAAAAAAGGTAATATAACAGACATTTCATTTAAGCACAAACATCTCTGGAGATTTAGTTTTTGCTGAACACGGTCACTAGGCTGTCAAAATGATGAAGTAATTAAATCTACCAATTTCAGTTTAATTTATACAATTTGGTAAATCTCAAATGTTCTTTAAAAGAAAATTCACAAGCAGAAATTATGTGAATATTCAGCACTCGGAAGTCATATAATGACTTTCAAATTAAATTACAGGTCACATACATATTTAACGTGTGAATAAAGAATTATTAAATATTTTTATGCTGACAAAATCAAGAGATTTTCCTTAAAGTATCAACATTGCTAGCACCAATTATATTTCTCTTGCATACAAACTCCCATTTTACCCTAAATTACAGAGAGCTTTCAAAGCAGGCAGGATGTTTATTGTGGAAATGAGAAAAGACTTACCTTCACATCCCTGTGAATTATGTTATTATCATGACAGTAACGTAGAGCTTCCAGTATCTGTCTCATGTAATGACTGTAAAAACAAAATATGTCTAAGACTATATAACAAACTTGTGAAAAAATACTATTTAAATACAGTGCACTCAGTTTTAAGCCTCCCACCTACAAAACTATCATTACAAAACTTACCTTTAAAGTCCACAATTATAAATATGCCAAGTGTTAGAGTGGGAATTATGTATTCATAAGAATGAATAATAAAAATAAATTGTGAACACTGATGTCTCTAATAATTTCAAAATTTGAAGGGTATTTTGACCATTAATAAGTTTTTTTTAGGAAAAAACCCACCCACCCAGTTAAAAATGTAATTTATAATAAAATAAGTTTATGCTAACAAAATAGAGTACAATATTATTACTATTAAAGTGCACTTTCTTTTTTCCTAATATTCAATTATTTCTACTAATCCAATAAAGAAACAGAATCACTGTCATAGGAATGAACACACTGCATATCAATACATGCAAATCACAAATACACAAGAAAAGATCAAAATATTATGTAAAAGATTAACAGTTAAGGTACAGAGGAAAACTGAAAATCAACTAGTTAAGTAAAGGATCATTCAGCCAGTTACAACAATTACATTGTGAACAATTACATTTTGTGACAACAATACATATACACATGAATTTGCCAAATCCATGAATACATTTAATAGGCGTTATATTTGCTTATTTTACATTTAGTATACACTAGATTATAACCTCAAGCAGGATTCATTTCAGGCTGTGGGACTGTATTTTAGACTTGTAATCCTGATTCAATGTCACTTTTTTTTAAATCCCTATGGAACAGTAATGAATGCTAATAATAGGGGCACAGGAATTCTGCATAAACTTTTATTAACTGATCTGGGCATCAGGAGACCTGGATTCATTCTGAGCTCTCCGACTGGCTCACTGGAATGACTGAGGGCAAATAATAATGTCTCAAATTTTCAAATACATTAAGTTAATTTTTTAATTTCCACTTTGATATCCACAAGGTGCTAAGCACTCACAAATTCAACTGATGTCATTAGGGGCTGTAGGTTGTCAGCATATCTCAATTTGGGAACCCCAAAATGAAGGAACCCTTCTTTACATTTTGGCCTGAAACTCTCAACACCTTGGTTTCTCCATCTGTGAAATAAATATTTTGATATTTATTCACTTTTATAATGTGGTTTCAGATCTATCAATGAACAATACTATATAATGCTATATAAGCAATGAAAATTATACTGAATTGTACAGTATAATTATGTATTATGTACTATTGTATTAGTATTTTTAGGTAGTTTTAACTAAGTGATCATTTTGCTTCAGACAGTTGTTTCTAACTCATCCCCACCCTTTCCATCCCAAAAGCTTTTATACCTGACTCTAGATTTTATGGTCCTAGATTTTCACTCTCTCTCTCTCCCTTCACTCAATTGCTTTGCAACATTATTCTGCAGAATGCCCCTTAAAATTAATCCAACCACAATGGACACAGCATGCTAGCGTGATTTTCTACTAGAATAGTCAATAGTAAAAGTCAAATTGATAAACTACTTGGCAGCATTTCTGAGGCCTTGGCTACACTAGCGCTGTACAGCGCTGCAACTTGGTGCGCTCGGGGGTGTGAAAACGCCCGCCCCTCCCGGAGCGCAGTGCTGTAAAGCGCCAGTGTAATCAGCACCTGCAGCGCTGCATGCTCGCTCGCAGCGCTGCAAGCTACTCCCCTCGGAGAGGTGGAGGACTTGCAGCGCTGCGAGAGAGCTCTCGCAGTGCTGGCGGTGCGACTACACTCGCGCTTCACAGCGCTGCCGCGGCAGCGCTGTGAATTCTCAAGTGTAGCCAAGGCCTTAGGGAAAAATTCAAGTTCACAAAATACATTAATTAAACTATCACTAGAGACAACATAGAGCATGCATACAAGGGAAGTTGTATTAGTGAATAATGAAACAATGAAAGTATATTGTGCTTCTTTTTCCAACTTAGAACATCTCAGATAAAGTCAAAACAGAGGGCTTCACACCACTACCTAACCCAAGGGTGGGCAAACTTTTTGTCCCGAGGGCCACATCTGGGTTTGGAAATTGTAAGGTGGGCCATGAATGCTCACAAAATTGGGGCTGGAGTGTGGGAGGTGGTGAGGGCTCAGACTGGGGCTGCAGGCTCCAGGCGGGGGTGAGGGCTGTGGATGAGGGGTTTGGGGGTAGAAGGGTGTTCTGGGCTGGGACCGAGGGGTTCAGAGGAAGGGAGGGGGATCAGGGCTGGGGCACGGGGGGGGGGAGGGGTTGCGCTCTGGCTGGGGGTACAGGGTCTGGGGATGAGGGGTTTGTGGTGCAGGAGGGCGCTCCGGGCTGGGACTGAGGGTTCGGAGGGTGGGAGGGGGATCAAGGATGAGGGAGGGGGTTGGCTCAGAGATGCAGGCTCAGGGCGGCACTTAACTCAAGCAGCTCCGGGAAACAGCGGCATGTCCCCCCTCTGGCTCCTACGTGGAAGCCTGGCCAGGCGGCTCTGCTGTGCGCTGCCCTGTCCATAGGTGCAGCCCCTGCAGCTCCCCACCCCGAGCACCGACTCCACACTCCCATTGGCCAGGAACCATGGCAAATGGGAGCTGGGGGGGGTGCCTGCGGGCAAGATCCGCGTGCGGAGACTCCTGCCCCCCCCTCTTCCCCCGCCTAGGAGCCGGACCTGCTGGCCACTTCCGGGGTGCAGTGCGGAGCCAAGATAGGGAGGGAACCTGCCTTAGCCCCACTGCACTGCTGACTGGGAGCCACCCGAGCCCGCGCCCCGTGCCCCAACCCCCTGCCCCAGCCTTGAGCCCCCCCAAACCCGGAGCCCCCTCCTGCATCCCAAACCCCTCATCCCCAGTCCCACCCCAGAGCCCACACCCCCAGTCCAGAGCATATCCCCCTTCCTACACCCCAACCCCCTGCCTCAACCCACAGCCCCCTTCCATATTCCAAATCCCTTGCCTCACCCCCCCAGCCTGGAGGAACCTACTGTACCCAAAACCCATCATCCCCAACCCCACCCCAGAGCCTGCAGTCCCAGCTGGAGCCCTCACCCCCTTGTGCACCCCAATTCCCTGCCCCAGCCTGGAGCACCCTGAACCCCTCATTTCTGACCCCATCCTGGAGCCTGCACCCCCAGTTAGAGCCCTCACCCCCTCCTGCACCTCAACCCCCTGCCGCAGCCCAGTGAAACGAGTGAGGGTGGGAGAGAGCGAGCCACCGAGGGAGGGGGAACGTAATGAGTGGGGAGCGGGGCTAGGGTGTTCAGTTTTATGTGATTAGAAAGTTGGCAACCCTATCTGCAATTTATCTTAATCTTGTATTTCTAAATTAGAATTTTAGTTAAGTGACTGCATGAAAAGCACTAAACAAGTGAAGAAACTTTTGGATCTTCCACTGTATTTGAGAGAGCAATATGGTAATAGGATCTTCTTGTAGACAAAGTGACAAATTATCAGCTTCCATGCATTTCACATGAGCAGAGATGCCACGTATACTGAGGTAATAAATTCTAAAATCTACACTCACTTAGCAATGAACTGTTTTTATTTAAAAGTTTCTCACACTTCTTTGCAAATTGTACATGGTATTTGTCTCAAGCAGGACAGATTCATCACATACTTATTTCACTGGAGTCTATACTCAGTGACAAAGTTAGGCAAGTATGCAAGTAAGGACAAATATTTTGAATGTTAGTCTCTGAAATTGAGTCAATTTAAAATTTAGGGTTGGATAGTTAAAACTGTAAAATAAGCTAAGTAAGCTATTATGTGACTGCATGATCATCACAACACAGAATATGCACTACTGTCAGAATCAATTTTACATAAAATTTGATATCAAGTCAAAAGTATTATGATAGAAATGAGGTTATATTAAAATGACTTCGTTGACAGCATTCCTACAAAATAGAGGAAGGGACAGTCACAGCCTCAAGAAGTCTACGTTAAGAAGTAAACAATACTTTTTATTTATAGAGATCCAATGGATGACCACAGGATTCATTACAAGTTCTGATCTTGGTTCCACACATTCTGTGATTATCCCATGTTTAGCACTTTGACCACTCACAGAACCCAATATATCATGCACATTTAAAGGGCATATTAATGAAATGAGACCACATTATAAAATATTATATTTTAGGGAAACAACAAGTCTCTCCAATACTTGTCAATCAATTCACTTTATTACAACGTGGTGGGGATTTAGAGCCACCTTTTGGCAGACCTTATGTTCACACCAACACATATGCAGTTCTCCAAAGAACAGTCTTCCAAAGCAGCAACAGCAAATAATTCACTGAGAAGTGTCAGAGTACACAAGTACATAAAAGGTTGTTACAAGGAGGAGGGAGAAAAATTGTTCATCTTAACCTCTTATAGGACAAGAAGCAATGGACTTAAATTGCAGCAAGGGAGGTTTCGGTTGGACATTAGGAAAAACTTCCTAACTGTCAGGGTGGTTAAGCACTGGAATAAATTGCCTAGGGAGATTGTGGAATCTCCCTCATTGGAGTTTTTTAAGAGCAGGTTAGACAAACAGATGTCAGGGATGGTCTAGATACTACTTAGTCCTGCCATGAGTGCAGGGGACTGGACTAGATGATCTCTCGAGGTCCCTTCCAGTCCTATGATTCTATGATTAGATATAAATTCAAATGAATAGAGATCAGGGAGAATTTCAATCTAAAGGTTTATTTTGCACGCATGCACACACACACACACACACACACACTTCAGTGCACATAACAGAATTTCTTTGGTGTCTACAGTTTGGTGTCTACAGACTCTGCTGTTAGGTTTTCTGCTCAGTCTACAGAGGCTTTGGCTATTCACTGAACTATGAAGTATGTTTTTTTTATTTATATGTGTAATACTGTGTGTACATTTAAGAATCCAACAGACTGAACTAAGATTTTATGAAGCTACAAGGTCTAGAAAAATGAGCGCAGAAATAGAAGCCCAGAATTTATGAGTTTCACTCCCAACTCCAACTGACTTACCTTATCACTCAAACAGATTTTTACAAAAAATCTATGCCCACGGTTTCAGTTACCACCTTTTGCTGATAACTCAACTGTTCATCTCCCCTCCTGAACTTGGCCCCTCTAGTCCAATCTCATATCACTTCCTTTCTCACTTATATTTTTTTGGATATTACACCATTTTCTCAAGTTAAAAGTCAAACTGAGCATCTTGTCCTCTTTTAAAACATCTCCTGTTTCTATTTTCACTTTCTCTTTTTTACAACTTCATCACCTTCCTGGTCAAGCGCTGGTCATTTTCAACTCTACTCACATCCTTTGTTTCTCATATCTAGACTTGTGCCAAATACAAGTGCAGATATTTCTCCTCCTATATCTCCCAAATTTGCTACTTTATCACTCTCACGCTAAAACTCTTGCATGCTATCATTTCTCACTTAGAAAACTATAACCTTCTCCTTTCCAGCCTCCTCGTCTCTTATTTTATAGCTCAAATACATTCAATTTTAAAAGTTATTTTTCTTTCCCAACACACTGATCATGTCAGCCTCCTTGGAGCCCCTCTGCTGGCTTCTTCTCTCATTCTACATCAAGTTTAAACTCCATTGCAGAGCATTCTATGATTCTAATCAGTTTCTTTCTGTAGCCCCTTCCAGGACATAAACCTTTATAGTCTTTACCTCAAAGCGAAATATCAATTTCTGCATGATTCAAAGGCCTTACTGGCAGAGCTGACTGCAAAAAGAAACTGACTAGAATTATTGCTTTGTCTTTGCAGTTAACTTTCAGTATAAAGAACTTGATATAAATAAAAACTGACTAATACTAGTCAGTGTAAATCTGCCTGAAGCTCTTTTCACAGAAAGTTGCAAATGGAAGCAACCTATGTTGCTTGTCATTTTGCCTACTTGGTGCCTCAGGCTAACTTGCCTATGTTACTTATGCTTAAAACAAGCCCTTTCCCTACAAGTTTGATTCATTAGGTGGCACTCTTGCCCCACACTGAACTAATGCCAAGCAGAATGTTAAGTGCTGCTGATTTTGGAACAACAAGTAAAATCAGTGTCCTTACCCACTGTGGTCCTTAAAGATTCTAAGAGCTTGTCTACAATTAAAACACTACAGGGGCACAGCTGTGCCACTGTAACACGGTGCAGGTAATCCACCTCCCTGAGAGGAGGTGGATTCTTCTGTTGACCTACATCTGTGTACATGGGGACCTGGGTCGGCTTAATTACACCACTTGGGGGTGTAGATTTTTCATACCCTGAGCGACATACTTATGCCAACCTAATTTTCTAGTGTATACCAGGCCTAAGAAAGGAATTTAGGCCCAATAGCCTGGCTAAATTATAGTCTGAATAACTGCTTCCTTGTCTTCCAAATGCTATTGTTTCAACTGAATACAATATATTTTAAAATTTATTTCTTGTTCTAAACTGTTGCATAATGTTATTGTGTGCTGTTAAGTACTTGCTGAGACCATCCCAGCAGCTCCATAGTTGACTGTATTATGTTTTACACAAAGCAGAGTTTAAATCCCTTAAATTACTGTTAAAGCCTCACACAGATCATTGCCAAACTTGCATATATTTAAATGAGGATAAACATCAGTATTCTGGATAATTTTCATAGTATATTCAGTTGTAGTTTGCTTAGAATTCTCAACATGAATAATTTATTTTGGAATTCTTTTTTTTCCTACTAGTCTAATGTTTTTGGGTCTGTATGGCTTAGTTCCAACAATTACATATTTCTAATTTTCTGCATTAGTTAATCCTGTAAAACATACCAGCATCGTAGGATTTTGGGGAAAAAAGTGTGAAGTCTAAACAAAGATATGACAGTATCTGACATACTTTTTTCAGATATCAAGGAAGCAGATGGAGAACGTTTCTCTGCTATGGGCCTCCTGGCACAGAAAAAAGGAGCAGGAGTCAATGGTCACTGAAGCCGACTAAGCTCAGCATGGGCTACAGGGAGCAGAGCGTGCTAGGATGAACACATTAGTAAATAAGTAGGCAGGGGACACGAGCACTTTTCTTTACCTGACAGACCTACTATGGCTTGTTAGAGGGGAATCTTCATGCTGAGAACCATAGCAGATCTATCAAGTGGAAAAGGCAGTAAAGTGTTCAGTGCTACAGCAGGGAAAGATACTCAATGCTCTTTAGCCATCCCCAGGTGATCCCCTTTCTCTTTGCTGCTGCCATAGCCCTTGCCTGTGACTTGCTCCCTCACAGCCCCATACTTACCTCCACTCCCTCCTCAGCCCTACTCCATCACTTCTCCATGCATGGAACTGTTATGGTTTGCAAGAGACGAATCCCGGTACTGCAAGTTAAGGCAGTTTAATTCAGTGGAGAAGCCAAAAAAGCATTAGGCCGAGGCAGGGAGTGAAGAAGCAGTGTGCCTCAACTCCCAAAAAAGTGGCAGGAAACCAGGGTTTAAAGTGAAACCTCTGGCAGCTCAGGTTGTTCAGGACTGTTTTTTAAAATACTTGGCCAAAACGGGGCATCTGGCAGGTGAGAGTTCTACAGGTACCCAAGAGGAGTCCATGGAAGTACGTAAATTTTAAAAAGAACGTTCAATTGAATATTAGCAATATGGGATTTCGTTGTCCGTTAACAGCTTTGAGTTCACTTTCATTTTAGCCTACCATGCAACTACAAAAGTTAAAAAAATTAAATGGCTTAGAAACACAGGTACAGGGATAAGCTTGACACTACTAAAAGCTGCTGAGCGTGCCAGCAGTAAAATGAAATGTTTAGTCCCACCAGGCCCACTAGCCATCAAACCCCACCCAGTGTGACACTCATAAAAAGGCAAAGACAAAGACTTAAATATTGACTTTGAAATAACAATCCAACAATCACATCAACCATTGAGAAGCACAGCTCATATATGAAGGACCATTTTTATACATAGTTTCCTTTAAAACGCTCTACTACAGAGCTCCCTATAACAGTGGTTCTCAAACTTTTGTACTGGTGACTCCTTTCACACAGCAAGCCTCTGAGTGCGACCCCCCCCCTTATAAATTAAAAAAATTTTTTTTTATATTTAACACTATTATAAATATTGAAGGCGAAGCAGAGTTTGGGGGTGGAGGCTGACAGCTTGTGACCCCCACATCATAACCTCGCGACCACCTAGGGGGTCATGAGCCCCAGTTTGAGAACCCCTGCCCTATAAGAATCTGTGCAAACAGACTTATTTATAGCATTTCTATTTTTAACCACAAATTAGTGTAACTGAAATTACTTATTCCACCCCCTCCTCTTTACCCCGAGGGATTAGTTAAAAATTAGAGTACATACCTGGCTACGGCTTCACTGTACACAAAACCAGCATCTGCTCTCTTTACAATTTCAAAACACAGATCTGCTCCATCCATACTGTAGATAGAAAGATATGAAAAACGTTCTTGTAAGAAAACAGATAATAGGCTGCCAAGTCAAACGACAGTAAAATATTTCACAAATATGTTCCATTTGTATAATGCTCATATCAAAAGTGCTTTAGATGCATGTACAATTCATAATTAAACAAAACTCATTTAGCAACTATATCCAAACTGTCATGTCAACTAAAAATTCTCCAATCCAAAACATCTCAGGTGCTCAACACTCTCACTCCTACCCCAACCACATTAAAAGTCTGGGAAAGTAGTGAGCCTTTACAGCAGTGGTGCCCAAAGTTTTTGCACAGGAGGGCCACACAAACCTAAGCATGCACTTGTGTGGGCCAAACAGATTCTACATATTTTAATAAGATTTAAAGTCACCTGTATTGATTTATATTTTAAGTTCAGCTTGTTTTGGATGTATTTAGATAGGCTGTTTCTATGTACAGGATTGTCTATTTATACACTTGTGTAAACTAAAAATGATGTAAACATGATGACAAAACGCTAATGAATCAGCTGTTAGTATATAGTGTTGAAGCAGCCCGTGGGCCTTCTGAAATGCTCTCGTGGGCTGTAGGTTGCCCCCCCCCCCACGCTTTACAACATACCCTAACGTCAACAGATTCAGGCTCAGTCAGACCTAGGGGGAAAACTAATTCTAGAACCAACAGCTTGCCAACAAAAGCATCCAGCTGGTCCCTGAGGGCCAAAGGACTTGTCTGCTCAGGCAATCCAACTGATCTGATCTGCCACGGTTAGATGCAGTCTCTCCAACACACAGGCCCCAGACCATAGGAGGACTTTATAGGTTAGAAATAAATAACCTGAACAACACTAAGAAATGAACTAGAAAGCCAGCACAGTTCTGGAGCACTGATGACGTAATATTCAACATGTGGGAAGCTCCTTTAAAAGGGCAGGTGTCCACGTTTTGTAGTACCTTAAGCTAAGTGATCTTCAAAGGGTACCCCAATGTAGGGTGCTTTACAGTAATTCAGCTGGAAATAGAGGCATGGATGACTATGGCAGGATCCATGTCCAGGACAAATGGCTGCAATCCCCTACTTCAGAGCAAATGGAAAAAGCCCTCTTGGCCACTGATGCTATCTGGAGTTGGATACACAGCTAGAGGGCCCAAGACTTATAGACTTTAAAATAAGAAGGGACCATCATGATAATCTAAATCTGACCTCCTACACACTGCAGGCCACAGCACCTCACCCATTTACTCCTGAAATAAACCCCTAACCTCTGGCTGAATTCTGAAGTACTCAAAACATGGTTTAAAGACTTCAAGTTATAGAAAATCCACCATTTACACTAGTTTAAACTTGCAAGTGACCTGTGGCCCATGCTGCAGAGGGCAGGGTCTCTGCCAACCTGACCCAAGGGAAAATTCCTTTGCGACCCCAAATATGGCAATGAATTAGACCCTGAGCATGTGGCAAAACCCACCAGCCAGACACCCGGGAAAGAATTATCTGTAGTAACTCAGAGCCCTACCCATATAGTGTCCTATCACCCGCCACTGGAGATATTTACATGCTATTGTAGGCAGTCTCAACATACCACCTCCTCCATAAACTTATCAAAGTGCAGTCTTGAAGCCAGTTAGGTTTTTTGCCCCCACTGCTCCCCTTGGAAGGCTGCTCCAGAACTTCACTCCTCTGATAGTTAGAAACCTTCACCTAATTTCAAGCCCAAACTTGTTGATGACCAGTTTATAGCCATTTTTTTCTTGTGTCCTTATTGGCGCTTAACTTAAATAACTTCACCTTCCCTGGTATTTATCCCTCTGGTGTATTTAGAGAGCAATCACATCTCCCTCAGCCTTCTTTTGGTTAGGCTAAACAAACCAAGCTCTTTGAGTATCCTCTCAAAAGGAAGGTTTCTCATTCCTGGGATCATCTAGTAGCTCTTCTTTGCATCTGTTCCAGTTTGAATTAATCTTTCTTAAACATGGCAGACCAGAATTTCATACAGTATTCCAGCTGAGGTCTCAACAGTACCTTGTACAATGGTACTAACACTTCCCTGTCTCTACTGGAAATACCTCTATCCTAGGACTGCATTAGCCTTTTTCACATGTTAAATAAGCTTGGTCCCAAGACCGATCCCTGAGGAACTCCACTAGTAACCTCCCTCCACCCTGACAGTTCACCTTTCAGTATAACCAATTGTAATCTCCCCTTTAACCAGTTCCTTATCCACCTTTCAATTCTCATATTAATCGCCATCTTCTTCAATTTAACTGATAATTTCCCATGTGGAACTGTATCAAATGCCTTACTGAAATCCAGGTAAATTAGATCTACTTCATTTCCTTTGTCTAAAAAAAAAAAAAAACAAAAAATACAGTTACCTTCTCAAAGAAGGGGATCAGGATGGTCTGGCACAATCTACCTTTTGTAAAACCATGTTGGATTTTATCCCACTCACCGCTAACGTCTATGTCCTTAACTATTTTCTTTTTCAAAATTTGCTCCAAGAACTTGCATACAATTGAAGTCAAACTAACGGGCCTGCCGTTTCTGGATCACTTTTTTCCTTTCTTAAAAACAGAAACTATATTAGCAATTCTCCAGTCACAGGCTATGACCCAGATTCATTAAACATCCTTGCTATTGGGCTGGAATAATTTTCATAGTGGGGGTGCTGAGAACCATTCACTCAAACTGTGAACCATTTATATAATGGAAACAACTTCAAGCTAGGGGGTGCGACAGCACCTGCAACATTCCTAGTTCTAACACCTATGCTTGCAATTTCGTGTGCTAGTTTCTTTAATATTCTTGGATGGAGATTGTCCACGGCCCCCTAGATTAGAAACTTTATTAACAAATTGCAGGCCCACATCCCAACTCTTAGTTGAAGGGGCAGATACCACATCTGCCAGTACCCCATCTTCCCCCCAAATCATCAACTTTATCTTATTCAGATTTAGGTTCAGCCATCTAGCTTTCATTCAAGCCTCAATCTTGACGAGACAGGGGAAGCTAAGCAACCAAAGCATGAGTCAAATTAAATGAAGACATACAGCGGTGTTCTCAAAATACTACGGGTAGTGCAATCCATACCAAATCTGCATCTCCCTTACTGCTCTTGTATATACGCTGAACAAGAGGTGTGAAAAAGACAATCTTATGGTACCATACACAACAGGACCCTCAAAGCAAACATCCAGTTACATATTATCCTACAAGTTCTTTCAAAGAGGAAAAAATGAAGCTACACAAGTGTAACTGTATTTACACCAGGGACTGCAGTTGTATGCAAGGCAATCTCATTCAGATACTGTATTCCAGCTAGTATTCCATAAGGATGATGTAGAAGTCAATCAGATAGTTTAGGACCCCCTACAGGCTCCCTCACTCGCAAACAATGGCAGTGCACATTGCATTGTTGACTCTGTTCACTGGTTCCTTGTTTTTTTTCCTACCTAACTGCCCATCGAGAGACAAGGTGGGCTAGGTAATATTTTTTGTTGAACCAACTTCTGTTGGAGAGAGAGACAAGTTTTCGAGTCACACAGAGCTCTTCTTCAGGTATTCAGATATTCTCTAATTTCCTGGGACTGACATGACTACAACTAATTGCCTATACTCTCTAGGTCCTGGTCTACACTATAAACTTATATTGGTATAACTATGTTGCTCAGGAGTGTGGAAAATCCTCACCCCTGAGCGACAGTTATACCGACCTAACCCCTGGTGTAGACAGAGTTATGTCGATGGGAGGGCTTCTCCTGTGGACATAGCTACCGCTTCTCAGTGACGTGGAGTACCTATGCTGACGGGAGAAGCTCTCCTGTCGGTCTAGGTAGTGTCTTCATTAAGTGCTACAGCAGTGCCACTGCAGCACTGTAAGTGTACACAAGCCGTAAGGTAATCTAATTTTCAATGAGAAGAAATAAGGCACTTGTGGATTCATGGAAAATACTGCTTTTATAAACATCAGACTATAAATAAGCTTCCATTTGTCAGCAGTACAATATTCTCCAGAACTAAGGAGATTGACTGAGATTTATAGCAAAGTGTACATCCATTGCTTAACAGCATGTCTACAAAGTTTACACATCCAAGCTTTAGCAGACCAAGAGAGAAGCAAGTATCAGCATAGAAGACCCTGTATGGAAAGTGACCTGTAAGCAGTTTTCTAGAGGGTCGCTGTGATCTGAAAGTCTGCCTTTCCCCTGATGCAGTGCCTCTGCAGTTGTGTTCAGATGACGACTCTTTTTCTCAGGCCTTTCGAAAGGGAGGCTGAAGTGTTAGGGTGGTTGAAAGTGGAGGAGGTATTATTCAAGCACCTCCAACTGATCACAACTGCATCGGCACTGCATCACGGGAGAGGCAGACTTTCCGGCATCCAGATTTTAAATTATTTATAGTTTCAAACAACACCTTGCAAGCCAGCCAGAAACTAAAAGGCATCCAGTTCAGATCACAGTACCGTGCTTTCAACACAAAGCTCCACTTAAGTGCACAGATGTAACCTACACCAACTTCAGCTGAACCCGTATGTAGAGTGTGCTGTAAGTGGACAAAAGCATGGATAACTGTAAAAAGTCTGCAACCAAAGGAAACTTGCACTCATCTTACCAGGAAAAAATCCTATTGGCCACAGCTGCTATTTGAACATCCAGCAGCAATGTTAGAGTTAACTAGCCCTACAAATTGCAAAACTATATTAGGGTATTTCTAGTTGTTTCCCCTATATTTGCAATATTACATCAGTCTTGCCAGTCTTAATTTGCCCTTATGCAAATCCCAATCTTTTACATAGAGTGTCATGCATGGCACTCTGTACTGCAATGCCATGGCCAGATATAGTGGAGATGATGTAAAGCTGGGTATCAGCTCTCCTGAGACACTTCTGCCAACGCGTCCTTCTAACCCTCCTACAGGTCTATGATGAGCTAGACAAGTGACAAGGTAGAACCCTGAAGGGTCTTTGACATGACATCCTTCAGAATAACTATGTTCAGACCTC